TGCCTTGGTGTAAGATAGATGCGCCCCCAAATTGTACCACATTAATTCTACATTATAGACACACGAAAGTTCATAGAAAAAACGGGCATGCGGGGAACCGAAGGACTGAGGCCATTGGAACACTAAAAACCAGGTTGCAAATCAACCAGTACTATTTCCCTGAACTACTCAGTCGCATCTTTGGTGCTTTCACTCAACCAAATTTGGAATATGAAATGTCGGGCACGCAGATAAATACTGACTACCCAGGGAATAGGCAATAATACAATTTTGTCCACTCCAAGATAATGAACGTGGTCAATTTAATACCACCCTTCCTCTGAGACAAAAACTCGAAATAGCCTAAAAATAATGTCCCGCATTCGGCGACGTCTGAGTTGCCAGCTCCAAACTAACTACTCCCCGGTGGAAACCACATATAAAGCCAGTGTTTAATGAAAAATAGTGGACGGTGCGTTTTGACAGAACAAAGTTTACTTTAGTCGGCCAGTCTGAACGCGAAGGCCTTCACCGGCTGAAAGACTATTATTTTTGACGAAAAAATGTTACTTTAGACCTGCCACGCTTCTAGACAGGTTACATGAAGAAACTGTTTTAGTTAACGAAGTAGGCAAGTTGACTAAAAAGAAAGAAGTTTATCAAATGCCCTGTCGATGGTCCTCTAGAGCAACAGCACATCCATTCGTAAAGTGATGTCACTTCAAAAGTTGACTTACTCTCAAGGGGAACGATTGCGTTCGGTTTTTTCTTGAGAAATGGACGATATGGATTGGCCGAGTTATCCGGCTGACGAGAAAAAAGAACCTGAGGCCGAGAAACGTTTTTTGCCGCAAGTAATTTAACGGAGCCTGGTGCCCCTCCTGCGTTTTGGATAGTAATATCCTTTTCAGACGGTTTTTTAATCTACATGTAAATGTTCTGTTAGGTTAAAATACTTCGGAGACGACTGGATGGGATAGTGAGGACCTTTTCTGGGTTGCGACTACCAACTCCTGGGCGTTATTTCTGGCTCGTTCTGGGAATTCAATTTGATCCATTTCCAACGTCTGAAGTGTTATGAAACGATAAAAGAACATACGACATGATCAAGAATACGATCATTAACATCCACAATTGTTGCAAATTTTTCTTCGAACGATTTCACCTGTGGAGTATCCAGAATATTGCCTTCCCCGTGAACTTCGTCCATGATGTTCTGAATTCTGGTAAATAGAAATGAAGAAATTAGCACTAACAAGGATAAAATTTTGTTTGAATTCCCATTCATCACAGCCTTGTATTGAGGAAAATCATTGTAGTAAGTAAATGCTGGAGTGGCTGACGAGGGAAACTCGTGAGAGAGCTTCACGACTTTTGCGACGTTAGGCACGAGAGTCTATGGGAGTAAGAATCTGATTGTAAACACTCAAACCGAAACAAGACGGTCGGCAGCGAGCGAAACTTCGCTCTTTTCCATGCTCGAGGCGCTCTCCATATATTCTGCTGCGATGCAACCGCACAACCAATAAAGCCGACCACTCTCGCCAGCAGTTCAACAAGGCGCCTTGGCCAACCGATCATGTACGTACTGGTTGCCGGAGTTGAACAAGACTCCTTCTTATTTAGTTTCACCAGAATGTCAAATGATTATTTGTAGCACACTAATTAATTCGTCCATTTCTCATTGACTACCAACTATAATGGGCATTTATCAATGATACTTGAGGACAGTTAACACTTAGTAGAAATCTACAAAATGCAAGATAAGGGGCCGAGTGGCCATCAGTACATACCAAGGTTGTACGTGTTGCAAGTCTGCTTGACAAAAATTCAAAAAGACTGTCAGTACCGACAGAACACAAAACATTTGCAAGACACTAGAACGACAGAAAAAAATCCATATTATTCTGAGAGCATTCGCCCGCCTCTCTGTAACGAATGTGCCTTGTCGACTCAGACACCTAACGATGTGGACCTTACTGACGATAGACCGTGCGCACCGACATCTGTGTCGGCTACCGGCATAATGTACGAAACCTTTTTCGACTGCCAAGACAGTCTTGGATCAACCTTCCCTTCCTCCAAATTACTTATTCTCAAGCCATCCGTTTTAGCAAACTGAATTTCAGCGGGTGCCCTCACTGACATCACTTGTAAATATGTCCCCTCTAACCTTGATGGTCAATTTTATCTAATTCCCTTGTTGTACATATTCTGAGAACAGTAACGTTTTTTATTCCCACATTTTTTTAAAGTTTACGGTCAACTTTTCAGTTTTTACTATTTGCACAGCTACCCCGTCCATTTTCACTTCTGACTAGTTCATCTTCCTTAACTTTTTTCTTTGAATATATAAAAATGTGCGCATCAGTTATATTTGTTAATGATAAGACTGTGGCGGCAGCGGTCAACACCTGGTTTCCAAATGAAAACTGTGTTATGTGGCCAAAAAACCCCAGGCTGCTTGAACGGCTATTTTAGACTAGATTGAAGCCACCAGCAGACAAGAAGATATACGCCGTTCGATTGCTGATGGACAGCTTTCTGTTGGATATAACCCGACAGTTTGTAAGTAGGGCTGAATTTACGGATGACCCGTCCGGCTTGGAACCTACTGAATTAGCCCGAGGCATGAGGAAAAAAGTACGTGTTCCCATACCATTAACATCCGTCTTTAGGTATGTCCGCCAGCTAACCTCCGACTCAGATAATGACGGAGATTTAGTCATTCGACGACCTCCACAAAAAAGAAGACTGCCTGGTCGACACCGCCACTCATACTCCTGTAAGAGTCTTCGTTATAAATAGACGTTGGAGAACGAAAAACAATGAAAACATACCTTGATGGAGTGAGCCCAGTCAACATACGTTAACCGTGGAATGTCAGCAAGAAGGTTTAATTCATATACGCTTTAAGCAGCCAACGGCGAAACGCGTGTCGTTGATAATCGTTGCACACAGGTAGCAGGGATGTGAAATGTCACTGGTAGGATTGTTCTCAATCTTGGTAATATACAACTAAAAAAGTAAACTAACTGTCAGTACAAAACGTAGAATTTCAGGCTGACATGGTACGATTAAAGGCGACGATTGTTGAGGTTTTTAAGGATGTTCAAGAGACACGCTAACCTACTAAAGACAAACCCTCCGTATTCAATTTGCCACTGTGCACCAGCAAAGCCTACGACGACTTTGTTACTCAGCTTACCTTTGATACTAGCTTTGCCCAGAAGGCAGTATGTAAATATTTACGCTCATATACTTCGGACAGATTACGCACAAAACACCTGGCCGTCAATGGTGGCGAAAATAAAAAAGGAATCTCCTGACTACTCCGCTTGGTCACCCGCTGCGTCTCAGCTTCTGCTGGGGAGGGTCAGTAGAAAAGGGAGCTTTTGTCGGCTGTACCCTTTATGGCCTCCTCCTTGGTTTGCCAAATATTTAAGTTTGCTTGTTCTGCTGCAGTTCGTGGACACGCTGCCTTTTCAAATTGCATTGCCGACGCAGTTTGCATGAGTGCAATTGATTGGTTCCACGGAGCGAGAGGCAGATATGGTGGTAGAGCCAAACGTCGGGAGACTACCTTGAGTATTTCTAACTTACTTTTAGCTTCCCGTCTGCACCACCATGACTGCACCTTTCTCGACGATGTCTCCGTCCAGTGACATTTTAATTGAG